TCTCCGCAGAGCTGCACTCCAGCAGGTCCGTCCCAAGCCTGTACTGGTGCATGAGGTTGTTCCTCCCCAGGTGCAGGACCCTGCATTTGCCTTTGTTGAACCTCATCAGGTTCCTCTCTGCCCAACTCTCCAGCCTATCCAGGTCGCACTGAATTGCAGCACAGCCTTCTGGTGTATCTACCACATCTCCCAGTTTGGTGTCATCAGCAAACTTGCTGAGGGTACATTCTAACTCTTCATCCAGGTCGTTGATGAAGAAGTTAAACAAGACTGGGCCCGGTACTGACCCCTGGGGGACACCACTAGTTACCGGCCTCCAACTAGACTCAGTCTCGGTTGTGCTTTCTACGGTAGAACCCTGCCTCTTTACGATGGCTCTGCACCCTTCAGTGAGCTGCTCAACTCACTAAACAATAAAAAGTCTTTTTCCTGCCTATTTTACAAGCTGAACTGGTTCATGCAGAGGTCTGAAAGGCCTCAGAGCTAGCACAAGGTGTGCAGCAGAGCGCACAGCTAGGAGTGGGAAAAGTCAGAAAAGACAGAAGGGATTTTTCCTTAAGGGTGGTGGTTTCCCTGGACTAGATTGTCTTTTGACATCACAGCCTGGTCCTCACAGAACTTTCTTTCCAAACTCTCTCCTTTCCTACAGGGATAGCCAGCTTCTCATGGACTTTCGTGTTTCTCTAACAACAAATAAGCATCCTGTAGCAGGAGACAAGGGTAGCTGTCTGTCTATAATTAGTTCTCATCCTTCCATCTGCAAGGACAGCAGGTTTTGACAGAGCAACAAAGAAAAAAAGACATTTATTATGTAATAACGGATAGAGAAACAAGTAGACACACTCTTCCAAATTTCTCAGTGTTCTCTTAAAAAGACTGAAGGCTTTGTGAAAGAATGTATTGTGCTTAAAACTGAAACAAAAGAGATTTACAACATTTACTTACAAAAGTTGAAGAAAGTAATAGAAATTTTTCTTAAGTTACTTTCAGAGTACAGAAAATATCCAGCGGTCTGGACAATCATATATACAACAGTCAAGGATGTAGCTATTTCCCAAAAACTAACCTGGAGCAACCACGTTGACTCGAATTTGCTTTTTTGCTACTTCTTTAGCAAGAGAGCGTGAAAATCCAACTAATCCTGCTTTGGTAGCACTGTATACACTTTGACCAGAGTTGCCTTTAAGTCCTACAACACTTCCTAAAATAAAGACACATCAAAGAGAAGAAAAGATTTAATTACTAATTTGAAACTTACGCTAGCTTTATCATTTTAGTTTTAAATTTGGAATGGAAAGTGATACTAAAAGAAAAGTAATTAAAAGTATATTAGTAAATGTACTTTACAGCCTACTGCTGGGATAAGCAAATCCCTCAATTCTCTGTGATTTTTGTGTAATCCATATATCTATGTTGACTAACAGGCACCAGGAGAGTAAAATGAAGAGCTTTCCAAAAAATTTATCCTTGCACAGGAAAAAAAAAACAAAAAACAGCTGTACCTATTCGATTCTTAGCTAATAACTAGCAGCTAGTAGATTTAAGCTAGTAGATTTACATACTGACAGAGCTGACAAAGAATGGCAAAATTCACTCTGAGGTGTTTATTACTGAAACAAGATGGTTTTGCATTTAGAAGTTGCTGAAATTACATAAAAGAATAAGCATTCATACAGAAATGCTAAATACAGAATATCTGAATACAAATAAAATGGTCAATTTACACCTGCGAAAACTTTCTGGAAACCAATTACATCGAATTCCACTGGATTAGATGAGCAACTTACCTATATTGACAATAGCACCTCCTTGCTGTTGAATCATGCTTCTTACAGCAGCTTTGCATGTCAGCATTGTTCCCAAAAGGTTAGTGTGAATCTGGGCTATCATGTCTTCAGTCTTGGTTCTCAGTAACAAACTATCCCTGACAAACAGACCAAATCACCCCAAAGAACTCACTGAACAACGCCAACGATCACATGCACTCATAATAAAACATGACTGATTAACAGAATATTAACAGGCATTTCTATGGTTCTATACATTCCAGCATTCAAAATGATGACACTGCAAGCACGACACAAAGCAAGAAAAAAATTCAGCTGTGCTTCTGGCAACAAAGCCTGCTTTGCAGAGAGGCATCCAACACTGGTTTGGACTATTTCAGGGTGAAGAAGTGGAAGAGAGAGGAGTAGAGGGGGAACTCAAACTCCGAATGCAGACACTATACTGAAAGCTGTATCACGTTAGAATTTTCCCTTCATCAGTGTGAATGCTTGAGTGCTTGTGGTGGTTTAGCCCTAGCCGGCAACTGAGTACCATGTGGCCACTTGCTCACTCCTCCCCCCACGTCCCGGTGGGATGGCGAGGAAAATCAGAGGAAAAAGGTAAAACTCATGGGCTGGGATAAAGACAGTTTAACATGACAGCAAAGGAAAAGAAAAAAATAACAACAATAACACTAATAAAAGAATATACAAAGCGAGCGATGCACAACACAATTTTCTCACCACCCACAAACCCGATGCCCGTCCCGTCCCCGAGCAGCGATCCCTGCTCCCCAGCCAACTCCCCCTGCTAGACACTGAGCACCACGCCATATGGTATCAAATGTCCCCTGTCAGCTGTCCAGGCTGTGTCCCCTCCCAGCCTCCCGTGAAAATTAACTCCGTCCCAGCCAAAACCAGGACAGCGCTTAACACTGCTCTGAGACGTGCTCAGTAACAATACTCCTACTAAATGCAAAGGCTCTCAGCACCCTGTAGTAAGATGCTGTCATCTAGAATTACACACAATCTTGTAAGGAATAACTAACCTGTTGATCCCAGCCGCATTCACCAAGTAGTTAACAGGACCTAAATTCCTCTGCATCTCCTCAAAAGTATTTTGGACTTCTTGTTCACTGGATACATCACAGCTAAGTGCCAGATGTCCTGCTGTATTGAAATAAAGGCACATCATAAGAACAGTAAAACACTGTATACCATTCATAAACCTTCTTCAGAATTTATCAAGCCAATTGCTAAAACAGATGTTGAACTAATTGTAGCTTGAGGAACCCATTTAATCTCCAGTGAATTAAATAAGGACAATTTCCAAGTACTGTATTGATCAGTTCTGTGACAATTTCTTGCTTTATATTTTAGCCTTTTGAAATCAGAAGTTCAGCATGAGCAGACTGGTCTCAGTTCTGGCTCGGTCACGAGCCAAGGATGACTAAATTCATACCACCTCCCCGTTGTGACCTTGAACAATTCCTTCCATCTTACCCATTCTATCTGCAAGATGTGAACTGTAACATACTTAACTTTTCCAAAGGATACTGTGAAAAGCAAATTGTACTGAGAGAGCTTTTCTTTTAAATTTCTCAGCTTTTACTTTCATTTTCATCTAGTTAAACAATGAGATTTATTTTATGACTTAGTACTCGTAAAATTTAGCTAAGCATTGGACAGTGAAGAACGTATTGCAAAGCAGCATACATACCACCAAGATTACGTGCAGTAGTCTGGGCTAATTCCAGATTTCTAGCAATAATCGCCAGGCGGCAGCCTTTCTGTGCCAGTAACTCTGCGACAGCTTTTCCTATTCCTCGGGATCCTCCAAAAATGGCGCAAACCTTGCCCATCTTCAAAAATAATTCACAAATTGCAAATAAGCTATGAATTTCAGGTCCAGTATAGCAGAAAATAACCACTGTTCTTATCAACATCACGGCCCTTACTAGTCTGCAGCATTTTGTAACATCAGATTATAGAATTATTCATCTGTTAATTTTTTATTCACCAAAAAATAAATAACTGAACTAAATTAGACACCAATTCTACAAATACAAGTCAATTCTTAATGATTTCTGAACTAGTAAAAAAACTGTGCGTGTAATCTAGCATTTCAATACTAGTGTTACGATAACTCCTATTCAGTTGATGAAATAAGTGACTTACTTATCTAAAGGCCACCATGCATTGTTCAGCTGTTCATTCAAAGCCAGTGTAGTAGTTGTAATGATACTGTTCCTGCAAGCACTATTCTTGTACTAAAGTCATGTAGCCTGAAGGCCTCACTCCACCCTCAGCATCTGTGCTGGACATCCACACTGCAGACTCTACTGAGCCTGACACTGTTGTATTTACACTAGTTTATACTAAGTTACACTATATAATACTATGTTTTACCACTAGCCTTAGGTTTTTTTGTTTCTGCTTTTGAAGACAAAAAAGCTTTCTGAAACGTGCAAGGATTCCGAAGTAGCTAGTTGAAATGTCTACAAAGGAGTGTAAGAAGAAAGTACTTCTGTAGAATGCTCTTTTATTCTGAAACCTCTAGAAACCAGTCAGCTGGTTTGGAATTTCCTGAGGAGCCACAGGCAGAATCCAAGCAACTGTAATGAACCTCTTTTCCATACATGCCAATAAATCCTTTTTGAACTCAATTATACTTTGTCTCCGTAACATCCTGAGGCAACAAGCTTCATTCTTTGCAGAAAAGTACTTCCCTTTGCTCTTCATCTGCTTTCTGATTAGAGAACACTACGCGTTTCTCCTCGTACCTTGCCCTTGCTGTTTGTAACTTCAGAGGCTACTCTTCCGCACTTGACCCTTCCCCTGTATCCTCTTTCAGGTCTAGTTACTTTTACCCTTATAGAAGCCATTCCGTATGTCACTAAAGACTGTCCAAGCTCTCAATCCTGCCAGCCTACCTTTGCCTGCCTTAGGCCTGTTACACCCTTTTGGATGTGTAGTGACCAGGAGAGCACACGGTGTTAAGCACACAAGGACACCATCCACTCACACAATGGCAGAACGATTTTGGTCTTCCTTGACAGGGCCTGGAAGAGCAGACGGTCCTTTTCTGTAACAAAGTAAGCACAAGTGCTTGAAATCAACCCGTGTTTCTGCTTCCGCTGGCAAGTTTAAATCAGCTTCCTAGGAGTAGGAAGAGGATTAAACACTTGTATCTCAGGTGGTGGCCCTTTCAAAAGAACAGGTACAAAAAGATGTCCTGCATGAAGACCATTCCTCAGTGACAAACCCAGGCACCACTGCCTCACCAGAAAGACTCGTCTTTTTAGTAGTCCTCATTAGGCAGCTAGACTGCAAGAGACGAACGAACCCAGAGGTCTTGCACCCTGGTAACTACAGCTCCTGCTGTCTTAGCAGACTAAAGGCACAGCCTGCATTTTGTTGACAAATTTTTTTGTTAGAAGCAAAGTCTCAGTCTGCCTTCTCCATCGTGACTGATCTCTTCTTTCACAGAATTATCCACACTGACTTTTGGAAGTTCTTACCTACTTGTTGCAGCAGTGTTGTACTAGGATTTCTCCCTCCGTATTTTGTTCTTACCAGCACTGAGCATACCTACTCTCTTATTTTTATTTGAAACATGGAATACTACAGGAGGGATCTCTGGAAGTCACCTCATCTAAGTCCTCGACCCCTGAGCAATGTCAAGTGAACCATCTTACGCTGCAAGTGCTGCCAGACCTATATGTATTTCCCAAATAATTCCACAAGTGCTTAGCTACGCAGGACCCAAACAGCTGCCCGTGGGGTGAGAACTCCTTTCGAACCTATCCTCCTACCCTTCCTGGTCTCCGAGCAAAATCTCCGCGTACCCTACCGCTCTCGGGAAGAACAGGGCAAGTCCCTGGAGCGTTGACCAGGGCCGTGCAGGGGCAGCAGCAATGCACCATTCGTGTTTTAGCACAACAGAGCCGCGCAGACCCTCTGAAGTTGTGACTTCAGAGAAAAAAACGGCAGCAGGAGGAACCACCCCGCGCCCCCCGGCCGAAGACAGACGGGGAAACCCAGCGTCCGCCCAGCAACGGGCTCTTGGGGC